CAGCATGGCCCTCAGTCAGTCCTGGATGGAAGTTAACTTCCCTTGAGTGATCCATTTCCCTTTCTTCCGTGAGCTCGCTCCTCTGGGTCTCTGCAGCACTGTTCTTGGGTTGCTTCTCTTGGGTTTGTCCAAGGCTCGGGATTTGAACCAATGGCCATTGGGTTGCAGAGCCCAATTTTGAACCAAAACCCAGTTCTGCTGCCCCATACCTGTGCCCACATCATCATAATGGGGTGGGAGCATGGAGAGGCTATAGGGTAAGCCATTCCCATAGCTTCAGTGCCATGTGAGAACAATACCCACCTCATAGGGTTGTCGAATGAGTTCAATGACGTAACTTGTAAAGTATCTAGTGTCTGATGGGTAGTTAAGTGCTTAGTGAATGGACACTGTTATTGATGACAAAGGTTAGCGGCATTACTTCTCTCTCCTACATTGCTACTTCTTTGAGGACAGGAATTCTGACTTTCTTAACTCGGTGTCTACGTGAAAAATAAATAGAATACAAATATGTTGAGCCATACCTGTCTCTAGTGTGTTTCTCTTCCAGAAGTAATTCATGGAAATGGTATATTGACTTATTAAAAATAGGGGTAAGAATAGTCTTTAATCACTGTCTGAAATCTGCACATTGTCTTGAAATTCATAGCCCACCATGATGAACTTCAAAATTGTGTCCCCACTCAAGGAGTGATCAAAAGGCACCAGTACCAAATGGCCTGGCCAAAATACCACCTCGAGCCAAATGCTAGGGACAGTCATACTGTGAGTTTTAAATGCCTAGACCCGAAGTCACAGGTGCTTTCTTCTAATTAGCATCCTGGTTCTCAATCCTCTCTGTACATCAGAATCACCTCAGAGCTTAATAAAATGGCACCTCCCAGGCCCCCTTCCCAGTCTGTCCCCTGTTTAATTGGTCTAGTTGGGCCCTGGACATCAGGTTTTTGTTGTTGTTGTTGTTGTTGTTTTTTAAGACTTTATATTTTTAAGAGCAGTTTTAGGTTCGCAGCAATATTAGCAAAAGGTACAGAGATTTCCCATTTACCCCCAAATATACACAGCCTCCCCCATAATCAACATCCCCCACCAAGAGGGTATTCTCGTTACAGTTGATGAACCTACACTGAAATGTTATCATCACCCAAAGTCCATGGTTTACCTTAGAGTTTACTGTTAGTGTTGTGCATATTATGGGTTTTGACAAATGTGTAAGGACATGGATCCACCATCATAGTATCACGTGGAATATTTTCACTGCCTTACATCAGTATGTTATAAAAGCTTTCCAGGTGATTCTAATGTGCAGCCTGGTTGAAGACCAGGGAAGTTCCAGAAAGCTGTGAGGACATTTATCCCCACTCCTTTCCTCCAGCCTCAGGTACAAGCTGTGTTCAGTACCAGCATTCTTACCATAGCTTTTTTTTTTTAGGTGTGATTTTTATTTATTCTAAAAAAAAGGAGATTTCTTTAGCACCTTTATTCTGACGAGCTCTTAATTGCCGTACTTAGAACTTCTAAACAGTGAACACTTGTCAAGCATCAACATGGCTATCAAAAGAGAGGGAGTTGATCCCAGGTGACAGGGAGGGCTGTCTGAGGGTCTCCCGTGAGTGCAGGTGGGTGGGGGGCGCATATCCCCTTGATTCTGGACCTCATTAATGAGTGACCTAGAAATGCGTTTTTTTTTTTTTTAATAAGCAATCAGCTTTTGTACCCACAGCAGCACACTTTAAACAGTAAACACTGCTGGATCCTGTCCTCCATGTGTTATCAAGTTTTGGGGCCACTTCCCACCCCCAACATCACGCGCCCCTGAATCGTTCTTCTAGAAGGGGCTGGTTCTGTGTTCAGGCACAAAGAGCTATGGCCTCTGCTATCATCCCTGCCCCAGGTCAGTGTGTAACTTAGTGACATGTGGGTGCCTCCTGATTACTAAAGGACTGGGGACCCCGTCTATGGATCATCCCTCCCTCCTTGGGGGGTTTGGGTCTCCTTCTCTAGCCCACCCACCACCAGAGTGAAGTCAGGAATAAAGGAAGTAGCAAAGGCAACCCAAGGTCATGCCAAGTAACCCGTTTCATCTCAGATTAAAAAGAAAAAGTGTGTATGTGTGTGGGTTTTGGCTAGATTTTAGATAGAAAATAGGCTAGTGAGAGCTCTAGAACTTGATTAAAATTTTTTGCCAAAGGTGATACCAAAAGATTTGTTTCTGGATTTCAATCCCTGTTGCCCATTTCTGTGAATAATCAATGTTTGGTTTAATGCGAATAATAGCACAGAACATTTTTAGCCCCCCGAGTTTTACTATTCCAAGCAACTGTTCTAGGCCTGTGAGGCATGTGCTGTTTACACCGTTGCATGGGTTGTGATGATAGAAATGACAATGATAATAGCAATGGTTGACATTTATTGAACCCTTGTAATGTGCCAGGCGCTGTGCCAAGGTCAATATCCGGCTTATCTCATTTAACCCTCACAAGAACTCTTTGAAGGAGGTTGAGAATTATCCCCATTTTACAGATGAGGAGACCGAGGCTCCGCGAGTGGCAGAGTCAGATTTTGAACAGAGCAACATGCCTCTGGATGCTGACTGCAGTGTGAATGTAGGGAGCCGTCACCAGGGTACGGCAAGCCAGCCCTGCCGTGCCAGCCCTTGCCACTGGACCAGGGAGGGAGGGCTGAGTTGCTGCAGGAAACGGATCTCTTGTAGGCCAGGAAGTAGTTTGGGGCATCAGAAAGCAGAATTTCATGGGCTGGTAAGAAGTGAGTGCTCACTGATGACCGGCTTCTGCAACCATGTTACCAAGGCAACAAAGATGGGCACGTGGGGCGGCGGTGGGCTCTATCACACGTCCCTCTGTGCACACGAACCTCTGCCGGCTGTTCCTCCGGCCCTGCCCTTCCCCCACCCCCGTGTTCATCCCCCCCGGGCCCCCCCCCCCCCCCGAGGGCAGATGCCCTGGGTGAGAAGTGTCCTCTCCACCCATGACTCACTGCTTCTTGGGATGAGGCAGAGTGTGTGAGTGACATAAACATGTGTGGGTAAGCGCCTCCTTTCTGTGGAGAGGGCCTCCTTCCAGCCCTGTCTTGGGAGGTCCTGCTGCATTCTTTTCATGATACTGTCCTGGGCACTCTGTCAGGTGCACCTGTCAGTCCCTGAACTCCAGCTCTGTAGAGACCAGCAGAGATCAATTATGAATCGGCAGCTTCCTCATCTCTAAAATGCCTCATAGAATGATAGAGAATAAAGAGTTAAGACCTAGCTAGCTTCAGACAGGAGCCATGTGTGTAGTCCATGCTCAGGAAGCGTACCAGTCTCCTGTTGCTGCTGTAACAAGTTGCCACAAATAATTGGCTTAAAACAGCACGAAATGTATCACCTTAGAGTTCTGGAGGTCAGGAAGCCAAGATGGGTTTTGCTGGACTGAAATCAGGGTGTAGACAGGGCTGCGCTCTGTGGAGCCTCTAGGAGAGAATCAGTTTCCTTGCCTTTTGCAGCTTCTAGAGGCTGCCCAGATTCTTTGGCTTGGGGCCCCTTCCTCCACCTTCAAAGCTAGCAGCGTAGCGTCTTCGAATCTTTCTCCGACTCTGACCTGACTGCTGCTCTCACATCCCCTCCCCTCCTCTACTTCTGTCTCCCAGGGACCCTTGTGATAACATTAGATCTGCCCAGATAATCTCCCCATCTCAGAACTCTTACCTTAGTCCCAGCAGCAAAGTCCCTTTTGAGTCTGACTCAATGTCAAGTAACAGATTCACAGGTTCCAGGCATCAGGACGTGGACAAGTTGGGGGTGGGGGACTTAGTTGGCCCCCCATAATAAGCATTAGCTGGATTTTTTTTTGGTCTTTTTTTTTTTTTTTTTTAAGATTTTTTATTTGACGGGTGCCGGGGTGGCTCAGTTGGTTAAGGGTCTGCCTTCAGCTCAGGTTCTCCCTCTGCTCCTCCCCCCTGCTTGTGATCTCTCTCTCTCTCACATAAATAAATAAAATCTTAAAAAAAAAAGATTTTTTATTTAAGTGAGAGAGAGAGCAGAGCGAGCAAGAACACGAGTTGTGGGGAGGAGCAGAGGGAGAGGGAGAAGCAGACTCCCCGCTGAGCAGGGAGCCTGATGCTGGGCTCCATCCCAGGACCCTGGGATCATGACCTGAGCTGATGGCAAACACTTAACCAACTGAGCCACCCAGGCACCTGCGTTATCGTTTTTATAAAAGGGAAACAGAACCAAACTGGCTAGCTTGGGGCTGGAAGAACCAGTAATTTGATCAGTATTGTCACTAATGATGTTTGTTAGGCACTTGCTCTGTTAGCTCACTCTTGCCTCAGGGCCTTTGCATCTTATTCCCCTTCCCTGGGGTTTGCTTCCTTGCAGAGCTTTGGATGGCCAGCACCTTCTTATCCTTCAGGTCACCGCTCAGAGAGGCCCGTCCTGATCACCCTTGCTTAGGCCAAGCCCCTGACCCATTTCCCTCTCTCACACCATGGCACCCTGTTTCCTTCTTTGCCATCATCTGTAACTTTTTGTTTACAGTGATGCATTCTGTCTGCCATCTGCGGAAGTCAGCTCTGGGAGGGTGGGGGCCCTGTCTGTCTTGTTCATAGCTGTTCCAGTACTTGGAACAGAGCAGGTGCCCAGTGCGTATCTGTTCCGTGAGTAAGTGAAAGAAGCCGTGTGGGCACAATGCCGTGCACCTAATGCTCATGCTCCCCTGTGGGACGTCCCTTCATCATTCCACCTCACAGATATGGCAACCAGGGCCCAGAGAGGCTGAATCGTTGCCTCAGGTCAACAGCGACTGAGTTTACACCCAGGTCTGCCAGAGTTCTTGCTTCTGTCCACCTCTCTGCCTCATGGCCTTGATGTCATCAGAAGCTTCTTGAGCCAGCTCTGTGGATGGCCACAGAACTCTGGCAGGTCCGTTATCTCTGCCATGGGTTGTGAAAGCCGCTTTTCAGACCCACCTGCTGGCCACCTTGACGCTGGCTTTCTTCTTATCTAGGTCTGTCGTGTCAAGTCTGGACTCCCCTGCCAAGACTAGCTCCATGGAAAAGAAACTTCTCATCAAAAGCAAAGAGCTGCAAGACTCCCAGGACAAGTGTCACAAGGTATTTATTTCCGCAGCCGGCCTCCCTCCTTGCTCCAGGATCCTCCCGTCAGTCTATGCCAAGGGATCCGCCTGGGGCCGCTGCTGGCGCTGAGCCACCTGATCCATACCGAGCGGGCGAGGCGCTCCCTCCCTCGCTGAAGTCTCGCCTCCAGCAGCTCAGAGGGAGATGAATTCAGGCCTTGACGTTGCTGTAAATCCTTTAAATCTTAACCAGAGGAGGCCCTGGATTTAAAAACGGCCCGTTCCTCAGCATGACCCAGCCAGATGTCTGCTTCTTCCGGCAGGTGGCGTGGGTCCTCACCTGTGGCCGAGATGCATCCCATCTGCTTTGAGTGATGCGAAGTCTCTCTTCTTAGTCCTTTAAGCCTCCTGCTTATGTAACTGCGGCCACTGTGTTGACTATGCTCAACGTCTCTTAACGCTCACTGTTCCTGCCCAGGGGCAGCTCTCTGGAAGCTCCTAAGACCCACTCCTTGCCTGGGACTCCTCTAAGAGTGCAGACGAATACATATCTCCTTGCCCTGTCCTGGATTGGTCCTCTAGATCTTTGCAAGGAGATGGGGGGGATCAAGATGGATTTGGGATAAAATTAAAGTGACATGTGCCAAAAACCAAACTAAACCCAAAAAGCGTACAGGTGAAAAATGGTGATTGTGGCTTCCTTGCTCACGGGGCTAGAGAAGTGACCAAGTGTGAACCGAGTCTTGGATGAGAGGAGTGACTTAGCATTGGTGACTGTCCTTACGAAGAACTGTGCACTCCCGGGCGAAGAAGCAATGGTATTTCCTTCCCAACCTTTGGCGAATTAGTGCCAGCCCAGGTGGTTTCGGAGGCTGCTTGAGATTTGATTGCTCCGAACGAACCTCCATGGGCCCTTTTAACCTGTCGATGTGTCTGTTTCAGATGGAGCAGGAAATGACCCGGTTACATCGGAGAGTGTCAGAGGTGGAGGCTGTGCTTAGTCAGAAGGAGGTGGAGCTGAAGGCCTCTGAGACTCAGAGATCCCTCCTGGAGCAGGACCTTGCTACCTACATCACAGAATGCAGTGTGAGCCTTCCCCAAAGTCCCCTTCCCTCGGAGGCGGCACTTCCTGTTGTGTGTGTCTCATCCTGTTTCATGACGGCTTCATGAGGCACATCACAGCCTATGGCAGAGCGTATATATAGAGAGAGAGAGAGAGAGAGAGGGAGAGAGGGAGAGAGAGGGAGTGTTCCAAGGCAAGCTGTGTGATTGGCAGGGTAGCCTGAGCCAGGTGGGAGGTCCCAGAACTGTGAGGACTGGGCTCCAGGAGTCCTGGTAGGCTGTGGAGCCTGGACACGGGCCTTGTCATTGCTGCGGCGAGCGGCCAAGGCTCCGAGCGCCTCCCATCCCAGCCTCTCTGGTCTATATCCCTCCCACCACCAGCAGCCTCAAGAGCCCAACTCCTAAATGAGCACAGGAACATGTATTTTGAATCTGAGATCTGTTTTCCATTGCTTAGAACCAGTGCAGCAACGAGAAAACTCAGCCTGTAAAAACAAAACAAAACAAAACAAAACAAAAATCCCAGGCCCTCTGTCATTATTTACCATGTGACTTTTTATTTTTTTTCCTTTCCTTCACAAGAGTAGACTGTCTTCTCCATTGTCTCGTTAAATTTTTCATTCAGGTGTTTTTTTTAATGTGGCCAATTAAACAGTCTTCAGAAGTTGAATCACACATTTTTCAAGTTTTTTTTCACAAGGGAGAGGAAATCTATAGAACGTGGCTGATTAAGAATAACTGCTATGTTTCCATTCCAGATTTGGCTGCCTTTCAGTGGTGGGTGAAGTTATTCAGATATGTATTTCAGATCTGTATTTCAGTGCCACTGAAGCATTGAGGGAACCTTACGGAAGAAAGGTGTCCAGGAAATGTAAGCCAGGAGGTGGAATTAGACCCCTTGGGGTCTTAAGTGGCAATTAGGCAAGAAGGAAGTCATTGCTACCTTGAAAGAGGGATCTATCCTGGAGAGCCCTCTAATATCCGATATTCCAGAACAGACTTCCTAGCCATCCCAGTGGCGGTTAACAAAAGGCTAAGGGATCTTGTTGGTTTTCAGTCCCAAACACGAGTAAGTATCTGACAGGACAGGTAGACAGCGGTAAAAGGCAGCTTGTGATGCCAGTTTGCAGTTTCAGGCCGGACCCGTGAGGACACACGGTTGAGATGATGTTTCTTGAACCGAGGGGTTTTACAGGATGAAAAAAACCGGAGCCAGCAACCAACTGGAAGTTGTCAACTTTGCTCCGTCACCCGAAACCATCTTGGTGTCTGCGAAGCAGCTTGCAAGCTCCCTTTAATGAATCTTTCCAAACAGAGCAGGAACCACAGGGCATCCCTATTAAAATTTTTGCTTTCCTCAGAGCTTAAAGCGAAGTTTGGAGCAAGCACGGATGGAGGTGTCCCAGGAGGATGACAAAGCACTGCAGCTTCTCCATGATATCAGAGAGCAGAGCCGGAAGCTCCAGGAAATCAAAGAGCAGGTATGAGTGCTGCTCAGGTCCGGTACCTAGACCTCTAATTTCAGGGGAGATGTGTTTCAGGAGGGGCAGAGAGAGGGAGGGGGTTAGGGGGGGAGAGAGAGAGAGAGAGGTATGTAGGTCATTTGGAAACTGTTTATTCTCCATGATTTGTATAAATGGTGGAGCGCTTGTTCTAGCTCCTTTTGAAGTCTGCAGCCCATCCTGGCTACTCTTTTCACTGAAAGGTGTAGGTTTAGAACAAAAGTGGCCAAACTGTGGCCCGTGGGGCGAATCTGGCTCACCACCTGTTTTCCATGGCCATGAGCTAAGAATGGCTTTTGCATTTTTAACTGGTTGGGGAAAAAAAAAAATGAAGACGAATATTTCATGACATGTGAAAATTATATGGAATTCAAATTCCAGCATCCATAAATAAAGTTTTATTGGAACACAGCCATGCCCATTCATTTATGTAGTGTCCATGGCTGCTTGTCATGCTACGGTGGCAGGGGTGGGTAGTTGTGACAAAGACCATATGGCCTACAAAGCAGAAATTACTTGGTATCTAGCTTTTTACAGAAAAAGTTTGCCAATCTCTGCTTTAGACCATCAAAAAAAAATATTTTTATAGCTTTTCAGATATACTTTAAGTTTTTGAGAGAAGCCAGGATATCTTTCTTTCTTTCTTTCTTTCTTTCTTTCTTTCTTTCTTTCTTTCTTTCTTTCTTTCTTTCTTTCTTTCTTTCTTTCTTTTTCTTTCTTTCTTTTTCTTTCTTTCCTTTCTTTCTTAAAGATTTTATTTATTTGAGAGAGAGAGAGAGAGCGAGAACACAAATGAGGGGAGGAACAGAGGGAGAGGGAAAAGCAGGCTCCCTGAGGAGCAGGGAGCCCGATGCGGGGCTCGGTCCCAGGACCCTGGGATCATGACCTGAGCTGAAAGCAGAGGCTTAACCAACTGAGCCACCCAGGCGCCCCAATTTCATAGTTTTACTTGTATAAAGATAAAGAAGAAGAGCTTGAGCAGCGAAGGCCACGTCAGAATTAACCCGGGAAATCTGAGTGCAGAAGCCCATCCCCTGAGTGTTCAGAAAAGAGAATCAAGATGTTTAAAAAGCCTACTTACTCTCTTTCTTTTTTTTCCTTTCTAAAAGGGTTTTCTTTCTAGATGGTTCATTTTTATTTTGCTTCATTGTTTCCTTTTTAGCATGGATTTTTCGGTCCTTTCAAGAAACTGTAAATAGAAACTTTAATGAAGAGATGGCAGTGAGCGATTGGGAGAGCTGAATTATCAGCTGCCAGGCAACTCTCATTCATTTCAGAAAATCTAATGGAAGCAGTGATGGGAATGAACAATTTTGTCTCTGGATAGCACAGACTTAGCCATCCGGGTGGTAATGCAACAGGCTCCTGCAAATCATTGATCCATTAGCTTTTCTTTAAAGAAAAAAATGAATGTTTTGGGGTTTTTGTTGGCACAATCTGTGTATCGCCTTATTATTTTAAAGTGATTAGTTAATATCCTCTTGCTTGATCAAGATGTTATAAATAAACCTGCAAAGGTAATGTTGGCAATCTGTTCTGAAAACCGATACTAATCTTAGAGATTTTGAAGGTAGAGTTTGAAAAATCTGCTCTGACAGTTGACTCATTGCGCCTTTTATCAACATAAAAGTTTCAAGGAACAGGATTTTTTTTCTCCCGTTAGTTCAATGTGTTTTGGAGATTTGCTTTTGGTGACATGCTGGGGGAAATGAAAGCCGCATTTGGCCACCAGAGGGAGCAGCTGGTGGCCATGACTTCCATAGAAACTGAATTATCAGGACATTTTGAAAAGGTACATGCTGATGGTTGAGTTCAAAGAGATGTCTTTGATGATTCATACCACAGTTGGCATACATGTGGAGTTTTAGATTTAATGCCTGCTAAAAGTTTCACGGGGGGGCAGAAAACTTCTCAGCTTCAGATTTTCTTTCTCATCGGAAGATGGATTTATTAAATTGGCATTTAGTGAATTTTGTGAGACCAGGATGTCTGCAACCCAGGAAAAAGCATTTCCTGCTTCTCAGTGGACTCCTAGTGTTTGGTTTGCAGCTTGTCGATTCCTCCCAGATTTGGCATTTATTCCCCCCACTTTTTCTCTCAAAAGCTAATTTCTGTACAGCTATTCATTTTTAAATTTTCTAAACATTTTGCTTCTGCTTAGCCACCCCCTATAGAGTGTTTGCATTTGGTTTACAATAAAAACACCTAAGAATCTCACATGATAGCTTGATTCATGTACCATTACTAGAGATTGCTGATGCCCCTTGCCCCTTCCTCAGGAAGGGGAACGGAAGTTTGAGTAACACAGAAGGCATTGGTGTTTTGGGATTTCTGATTGAATAGGTGTATGTCTGCTACTTTTCTTTCCACAAAACTCTGAGGCTCCATTCAGATGACTTCAGGGCAGACCTCGAAAGTTGTCCATGGTTCCCTCTCGATCCCACTCAACACTGACTGACAATCCATCCCATGCCAAGATACAGTCGCTGTCTCTCCGCTCTCCTTGGAAACAGACCTGATTATCTTCTCTCCGATTTTTCCTGAAGCAGGGATTTGGTTAGCTGTTGGATTTGTAGGATTTCCTTGAAGGAGGCAGCATAATAACAGCAGCTCAACAGATGAGGTAGAAATCCTTTTGATGCTTCTAGCAAGCTGGGTACCCCAAGAGCTCAGATTCCTGATAGAGATGTTGCCTGGTTCTTGCCTTCCTCCCCCTGAGCACCGGCAGCTCAGGAAAGAGAAATGTTGAAGGGAAGGAACAACGCTCTGTCCTTGCTCTTGACAAAACACAAAAATTACTTACGCTTCTTGCCGACAGACGTTCTAGACAGAAAAAGGAGCTTGAGGATAAAAGATGCTCAAGATTTTCTCTCAGCTCTTTGGTTTTTCTAAGAGCTTGGTGTTTGTGCCTGTGAGCAGGGCCAGCAGTACTTTTAGGGACCCATAAAATGTTTACTTTTTTTTTTTTTAAATCAGAGGAAAAAATTGAGCTTTTAGGTCAAAGAAACTGTTTTCGTAGATAATACTAATGTTTTTGTCTCTATATGAATGCCATTGTAAAATATATATATTTTTAAAGATTTTATTTATTTGAGAGAGAGAGCACTAGCATGAGCAGTGGGGAGGGGCAGAGGGAGAAGCAGACTCCCCACTGAGCAGGGAACCGGTCCCAGGACCCTGAGATCATGACCCTGAGCCGAAGGCAGATGCTTAACTGACTGAGACACCCAGGGACCCCATAAAATATAATTTTTCATGCATTTTTTTTTTTTTAATGAAGGAGGGGGTCCAGGGAGGCACAGTGCCCAGAACCGCCAAAGTCATAATGCAACCCTGGCCAAGGGGCCTAGAAAGTAAAGGATGCGAGGATGTATCATTTCACACAATCTGGCTCATGTTCTGCTCTCTCAGTTCAGATAATTGTGAGCGGGTTGTGAAGACCTTTGGTTCTGTAACCCAGCATCAGCCACTTTGTGTGCACCCCCCAGACAGCCTGGTGCCCCATGACTTCTGGGAGTGACCTTCAATAATAGTATGTTTAAGGGTGGGCGAAGTGAAATGAGACCGTGCTCCACTCTGGGCTCATTATTTTCCTTTCCCAATTATATAGAGAGGTGTGCTTGCATGAAAACTATCCAGTTTTCTTAAGAATATCATCTCTGCTTTAGTGTGCATCTGGGGGAATTGCCTGCTACAATGGGATGAAAGGTTTGCTTTATACCCTGTTATTTAAAAAAAAAATCAATTATTTTTTTTACTGATTAAAAACATGTCCTTGCTTAATTGATACCTCTTCAATGATTTCCTGGGAGAACAGATCTTAGAGATGTTCACTGTATATTGTGAATATCAAAGATGGTCTTGATTCAATTCCTTGTTCTTTTCACTTTATATCCTCCCCCCACCCTAAGTCACCTTGGATTGGATACATGCTCATTCATAATCCCTATATGCATAAGCTTTGATATTGCTGACAGAATATTTTCATACTTTGCCCCAAAGTTTTCAAAATCATTGCCCATTTCTCCTGGTAAATCCAATTTTGAAAAACCGATTCAAATGTTCTGTTTTGATTTTAGAAATTCATTTTGGAAAAGGTCAGGCTGTTTGGATCACTTTAAAGGTTTGCTCGAAGGAACAAGATAATTCTTTCTCCGGAGTTTTGCTCACAAGTTATTTTGACTAGAGCCAGTGTTTCTGACTCTTCCAAATCTCAGGGTGACTTGCATTTCAAGAGCAATGTTAAGTTCATCATTCAGTTTTGGGCCCAGAGAAATTAATGGTGAGAAACCGACATGATGAGTTTCACCTTCCAAGATTCTTTCTACCGAGATTTCCAATTACCTCCTTGTGCCCTCTCAAAGGTTAATTTTAAAACTAGTACCATATCTAATTGTGTTAGGAGCACATGACTTCTAAAGGACAAATCTATATAAATGATTACCCTTGGAAGAAAGCTACATGTAAGCAGTTTATCCTGGTTGTTTAAAGAACATTCCTTTCAGCTCTCCAGTGTTGTAAATGCCTTGAGGTTCTGTGCTACTTGTGTGGTATTATTTGCTCAAATGATCTTATATAGGCACTCATGTTCCAAATGGTGTTACTAATGATACACGATCTACATTAAAACAGTTTAAAGATTTTTATTTGAGAGAGAGAGAGCGAGAGAGCACGTGAGGGGAGGGGTAGAGGGTGAGGGAGAGAAAGGGAGAGAATCCCAAGCAGACGCCATGCTGAGTGTGGAGCCCGACTCGGGGCTTGATCTCACAACCCTGAGATGATAACCTGAGCTGAAACCAAGAGTTGGACACTCAACCAACTGAACTAACCAGGTGCCCTACCTACATTAAGATAAAGACTTAATATTCTTATCTCCCTCCTCGCCCTCCCTACACCTCTCCCTTCTGCCCATTTTGATCCATCTTTTCTCTAGGACTGTTCCCTGCCAATCTGTCTTCCAACGTGCGTCTTCCCTCCGTGGTCCATGGTCTTCTGTCTTCAATGCCTGTCTTTCCTTTTAGGGGTTCTAAAGTTTACCTTTCTTCCCTTGCCTGCCCTTTAGGAGTACCAGGCTCAAGTGGAAGAAATGAGGTTGATGATGAATCAGTTAGAAGAGGACCTTGTTTCAGCAAGGAGACGGAGTGATCTCTATGAATCGGAGTTGAGAGAGTCTCGGCTCGCTGCTGAAGAGTTCAAGCGGAAAGCGACAGAATGTCAGCATAAACTACTGAAGGTAGCCAGCCACCTGCCAGAAGGCTGTTTTTGGGGTAGACTCCTGGATGATCTTAGTAAGAATAAAGGGAATACTAGCTTTGTGAGTGTATTTTTGGGGAATAATGGAATATTCTGCCAAGCTCCTGGTCTTTTTTTATAGAAGATAACCTAGTTATCATCATCATCATCATCATCATCATCATCATCATCATCATCTGGCCATAGAGACCAAGAAAGTATGGTAGTCTCTGTAAGACTTTTAGGTGCTTGAGATTTTCCAATATGTTTTATCTCTTAACTTACAGGCTAAGGATCAGGGGAAGCCTGAAGTGGGAGAATATTCCAAACTGGAGAAGGTATTTTACATTATTGGTGTTGCTATTTTTGGTAGATAATCTGTAAAATTTTTTTTTAAGATTTTATTTATTTGAGAGAGAGAGCTCACACATGTGGGGGTGGGGTGGGGTGGGGTAGAGGAGCAGAGGGGGAGGGACAGGCAGACACACTGAGTGTGGAGCCCAACACAGGGCTCGATCTCATAACCCTGAGATCACGAGCCACAATCAAGAGTTGGACACTAACTTACTGAGCCACCCAGGTGCCCTGAGAATCTTTTAAATGTTATTCTCCATGGCTCGTCATTGGTTAAGAATTCTCTTGCAATGGGTAGAGAACTCTATTCCAGGTTTATTTTGATGGTCAATCTCTGGGCAACCACGTTTAGCTCTTTAGCTGTGGTTCTAAAAGGGATAAAAAACACCTCATTTTTTATCATGCCTGATCACAGTAACATACAAACCAAGACACCTAGTAAAACATAGGTGAAAACTTCTATAGTCTTAAGGCACTGGGTAACTATGATTCTCTTGCCATTTGTGTGTTGCTGGTTCTAGGGAAGTAGCATGGAGGTTTTCATTGGGACATTCAAAGACTTCTCTGATAGGCCTCTGTTCTTCCTCTCCATTAGTAGGGGCTGGAAAACAGAACAAAAAGACCCCACAGAAACCTTCAGACAATAGCACTGCACTAAATGTAGCAAGACATTCATGCCAATTTACGTTTTGCTTTATTTCCTGGGATTTTAATTATAGATCAATGCTGAGCAACAGCTCAAAATTCAGGAGCTCCAAGAGAAGCTGGAAAAGGTAAGCCCGAGGTGATTTTTTTTGGCAACTTACCCTTCATTTCCAAATACTTTTCTTTGCCTTGTCCTGGAACCCAGAAGATGAAAGAGACAGAATTAGTCAGCCAGCACTGAGGAAAATGAAGGGCGAGTGAGCTATTACCTGAAAATATCAGAGTTCTGAAGACAGTTTTTCCTTTTGAGACATGTCAGCAGTGTTTATTTTTAAAAACTCAAGCTGCGTGAGACTCTCAAGTAAAAGTTCTAATTATACTATGACAGGAACCCAAGAGGCCAAGAGGCCAGCTTCTCTCCCTTCAGGGGGCCAGGCTCCCCGTTTTGCACATTTGTAAGAGGAGCAGGGGTTGTTCATGACCCAGATGGCTTTCAGTGAGAAACCGTGGGCAGCCTTCCTGCCCATTGGAAGACTGGGGGAGCTGGGGAGTCATCTCTGGGTGGGGGAGGGGGTGGGTTTGGTTTATAGCATCCTGTGCAGTTGATCTAATGACCCTCCCCTTGGCTGAACGCTGGAAATGCTAATGCATGGTCCAGAATGGATGTGGTTCTGAGACATGCCCATCACAGCAAGAATGTCCATGTGTTTCCTGGCCTGGTTTAATGGAGCCTCTTCTCATTTACTCTCTTTTTGTTGTTGTTGTTTTAAAGTTGCGGTGAAAAACGCATAACATTAAATTTACCATCTTAACCATTTTTATTTAATTATTTTTTTAAAGATTTTATTTATTTGACAGAGAGAGAGACAGCGAGAGAGGGAACACAAGCAGGGGGAGTGGGAGAGGGAGAAGCAGGCTTCCCGCGGAGCAGGGAGCCCGATGCGGGACTCGATCCCAGGACCCTGGGATCATGACCTGAACCGAAGGCAGACGCCTAATGACTGAGCCACCCAGGCGCCCTCCATCTTAACCATTTTTTAAAAAAAGATTTATTTATTTGAGAAAGAAAGAGTGTGTGCATCTGTGCTGTGCGTGCAAGTTGGGGGAGGGACAGAGGGAGAGAATCTTGAAGCAGACTCCTGCTGAGCGTGGAGCGTGGAGCCTGACTCAGGGCTTGATCTCACAACCCATGAGATTGTGATCTGAGCTGAAACCAAGAGTCGGCTGCTTAAGCGACTGAGCCGGCCAGGCACCCCTACCATCTTAACCATTTTAAGTAGAGAGTTCGGTAGTGTTAAGTATACTCACATCTCTGCGCAGTGGATCTCTAGAACTTTTCCATCTGGCAAAACTGAAACTCTTGACCTGCTAATTTTCCTTCCTTCCTCCCCCTAGCCCTTGGTAAACCACCTTTCTACGTTCTGTTTCTGTGATTTGGACTACTTTAGAGACTTCAAATGAGTAGCATCATAAAATATCTGTTCTTTCATGACTGGCTTACTTCGTTTAGCGTAACGTCCTTGAGGTTCATCCATGTTGTTGTAGCGTGTGACAGGGTTTCCTTCTTTTTAAAGACTGCGTGATGTTCCATTGTGTAGATAGACCACATTTTGTTCATCCATTCATCCGTTCCCGTCTCACCGATCCTGGAGATCACTAATGAAAGCCTCTACCGCCCTCTTTCAGCTAGACCTTTGTCTGAGGATTCACGTTTCTATCTAGAACTGTGTTCTCCAGCGGAAGTATGATGCAAGCCACAAGTGTCAGCTACTGGTGTAATTTTAAATCTTCTAGTAGCCACCTTAAACAGGCAAAAAGAAACAGGTGAAGTTATTTGAATGATACAGTTTATTTAATCCTGATAGAGCCAAAATATTGCAGCGTGTATCAATAGTAAAACATTTACAGTGTTTCAGTTTTTAAATGAATCAAACATAAGTTACATTAAAAATTAATTTTCCGGCCACACCAGCCACATTGCAAGTGCTCAAGGGCCACCTGTCGCCAGTGGCTCCTGTGTTGGACAGTGCTAGTCTCAAAGATGAAGTTTTCTTGAAGTTTTGACTTCTTAAAAATTGTAATTCAAAGCAAATAAGTGTGACATTGTTGGTTTCTAACCCTCAGATCTTTGCTATGATGCTATGAGTTGCAGTGTAGTTAAGACCCAAGTGAAAATTAACTTCAAAAGGTATAGCTGTTTTTTTTTTTCTTTTTAAGCACGGATTTGTGAATTACTGGGGAACTCTATGGTTGTTGTAGGCTTTGATAGGTTGAAGAAAAGCTTACAGTTTTTATCCTTTTTTAAATAAAAGTAGTACAGATTCCCTGTAGGAAAATGAACAAATGAGATAATTAAATAAGAAGAAACTGAGGGTAAACACATTCACACCTGGGTAGGTAAGTACTGCTAGGCCTTTCTGTTTGCATTTGCTATGTTGCATTGAATCTAAGATACTAATGATTATCAGATACAATGTATCTGTGCACCCCCAAGAAGGAAAAATTGCTGTCTGTTTTAACTGTAAGATGCATTCCAAATTCAGTGATGTTAAAATATATATATAAGTGCACTTTAGTGGAGAGGAAATGCAGAATAAAGTGAATGTTAATGGGTTTTGAAAATGGATCTGGTACGTATATACTTAGTATTGCCTGACTTTTCCCCGTTGAGGAGACAGTCACTATCTTTTTATGTGAATGACTTTGGCCATCTGTCTCCTGTACCTTCTCCCCGGATAGGCTGTAAAAGCCAGCACAGAGGCCACCGAACTGCTGCAGAATATCCGCCAGGCAAAGGAGCGAGCCGAACGTGAGCTGGAGAAGCTGCAGAACCGGGAGGACTCCTCTGAAGGCATAAAAAAGAAGCTGGTGGAGGCCGAGGTGAGCAGGGGTCCTCAGCCCGCGGTGGACGGAGCCCGGGTCCTGGCGTGGCTGCCCATGAGCAGCCAACCAGCTTTGGGCCGTGCCAAGGAGAAGACACTGCAGGACCACTGGCCCTTCTGCCAATCCCTTTGAAACCTGAGAGGCTTGGCAACGTTTTCCCCAAAGGGGAAGAAAAGACTGGTCACAGCAGCTTCAAGTAGAAAGATGTCCTGATAAGAGCGTTGCCTTTCTGTTCCTTTTCCTCTGGCCTCACGAACCTGGGAAGATTTATGTTTCAGTAGATGAACTGCAACGCTCTCCCTCAGTTTCTCTTTTTCTTCTCTCCGCACCCTTGTTTTTCCTTGCCTCCTTCCCACAGAGTTAATAATGTTACCTTTCAAGGTTTCAGCTGTTACTTGTGTGTTGATACCCCCCCGCCCCGGGCCTGTATTTTGGGCCTCTTCTCTCCCTCGAATTCTTTGTTGTTGTTGTTGTTGTTGTTGCTGAAATATTTGATATAACTATACAGGAAACACATGAGTGTCTTCTTGTTGTAAAAAACTTGAACAGTACTGAAGAACAGAGAATCAAAAGTAATACTTTCCCCTTACTCCCCTCCACCTCCCCCTGCCGCCTTGGTGATTGTCCCAGAGAATAAATAGATTGTAGTTGACCCCCCCGCCCCCCCCCCCCCCCCCCCGCCCCAGGCTCTCTGCTTTCCCCTGCCCTGGTCCCGGCTGGTGCATCACATCTAGAATGAACTCCCTATCTTCCCTCATGAGCGGGGCTACCTTCTTAATCTCCTCATGCCAGTCAGGGCCACCATCACTCATCTGGTCACCCCAGGCTTGAAACCTTGACGTCGCCTGTTCTCCTCGCTCCCTGCCATTCAGTGAGCCGCTCAGTCCTATAAATTCAGCCCCGCTGTCTCCCCCGTTCACCCCTGCTTGCCATTTCTGTGGGCCTCCTCACGGTCCAGTCCTTCTTCCCCTTAGTTGAGCACATTTAGTCATTTCAGGGCCCTCCACTTTCTGTCTTCCCTTCCTCCCCCATTGGCTCATTCAATGTAAGACTCACGGGCCTCAACACAAGGCTCATCAGCACCCCCTGGCCCATCCCAGAGCTTTCAAAGCTTCCCTGTGTCCTACGTGCACCCCTGAACTTGGTACGTGAAACTCTGAGCCGTTCGACTCACTAGTGCTCCCTTCTACCTTCTGCTACTCTGTCCCCTAACGCATCTTATGCTGCTGTAGCTGCTGGAGGCTTCACCTGGGCCCTCACCGGCTCCCTCCCCCCTCCATATTTGTGCTAATGCATCTGCCTTCATCTGAAGGGCCCTCCACCCTCCCCTCCCGCTCTCCCCACTCCAGCCTGGGTATCCCAGCACCGTCCAAAGCTCGCATCTCTGTGACTTCTCCTCTGAGCTCGTTCAGTGAAAAGGCCTCTCTCCTGCCTGCAGCCTCCCCCGTCTTAACCTACATTATGTTTCTTTGTGTTTGTCTTATCTTTTCCAAGGGCAGGAATTCTGTCGGCTTCCTCTCCATATTTTCCGTGATGCCTAGTGTGATACTTTGCAGATAGTAGGTGCTTGGTAAATATTTGAATGAATGAATGCACTCTTATAACCCAACACAACCAAGTACTTGGATTCTAGAATCTTCTTTTCCTCACCGTTGCTTCGGGTGCCTGAGACTTCTCTTCCTGCCTTGCGCGTATGCTTCTCGAGGGCGCTTTCCCTCGGTGCAGGCGCTATGCAGGCGCTATGCCTGTAGCAGTTACTCCATTAAAACTCTCTGATTGATTCCTGATCTACAGGAACGCCGCCATTCTCTGGAGAACAAGGTAAAGAGGCTAGAGACCATGGAGCGTAGAGAAAACAGACTGAAGGATGACATCCAGACAAAATCCCAACAGATCCAGCAGATGGCTGATAAAATTCTGGTGAGCAGGAACAAAGGCTGGAAAGTTAAAAAGACAACAGGTTAGAGGTCGCAGAGGGAAGGGGGCGAAAAGAGGAACGGAACGCCGTCACCTAGGGGAGGTGTCACCGAGTAGGCGAATGGAGAGAAGTGGCTTCAGTGTCTGCCCCCATGCTAGGATAGCACGAATAACCAAATGTTGGACGTCTCGGCACCGGTAACAGATCCGTAAATACTATTTTTTCCGCTCTGTTTGCTACCGCCTGACATTTTAAAACATGAACGTGCATCCTCTGTCGTTTCCGATACGTTTTACAGGAGCACTGACGTACTTCTGTCAGCAGAGTTTTGTGTGGCTGTTAACTTTGCAATGGCAATTGGCAAAACAGTGGGGATTTAGACCCTTAAAACCAAAACCCAGATTTGTGCTTTTGGAGAAGAAAGAAATTAGTCATGCAGGGTTGTTTTTCGCAGAGTAGTATTTGTCATAGATCTGCGTTCACCCACTCACTCTCTCTGCTACAGTTGGTTATTAGTATTATTTTTCCCCCTTAATTTCCTTAGATGTAGCAGGTCTTTTTTTAGGTTTGTAAACCATCATGATTCTGTTTTCGGCTCTGGTGACCAAATTAACTTCATCAAGGAAGGCCGGCTCGGGTGCTACTTGCAGACGTGGTGAGGTTTTGTCCCAGGCAGGTGAACTTTTAAAGGACTGTCCTTGGATCTCAGTCCCAAAGCCAGGAATGTGTGCCACGTTTGGGAGTCTTAGCGTTGACACGGAATCTGTTCATAGCCCCCTCCGCTCTGCCCCTAGGAGAGACCCTGGAGTGGTCGACTGTTCCTTTCCACCATAAGGAGGCGAGGCGGTGAGCAGGGCAGTGCATCTCTCTCTGTGTCTGTCTGCATCACTTCTGGAAAGTGGGTCACCTGCAACTATATGAACTCAAGAATGGCCAATTTATAAGCCTGTCGTTAATACCAAAACCAAAAAAAACCCCCAAACCCTTCAAAACTTTACCTGTCTATGTTTGCATATATTCACGAAGATATGGATGCTCTTGAGCGAACGGGTGAAAGAGAAATTGGTTGAACTGTTTTGCTTTAACACACAGTCTTCGTATATACGTCTGCACACAAAGGCAAACGTGACTGTTAGTCTACCCTTTCTGTTCTCTTGTTCCATCATCAAAGTTTCTCTTGGCGAGTGTCAAGTGTGTGAATTTTATCGTGAGTAAAATTAGATCCTACCGAGATCCCACCACTGCTGTCCCTTGCTTGGTGCAAACAAAGTGGTTAAGTCTCCTGTGGTTGCAAAGTGTTTCTCTGTTTAATGGTGATGTGTTCATTCATTCATTCAACAAATATTTAATGAGCTTCTACTATGTGCCAAGCACTGTTCTAGGAGCTGGAAATGTAGCAGCGAACAACAGTGTTTGCATAACAGGACTGAAGAGTTTGATCCAATACATAGAGAAAAGATAACATTTTACAAAAATGACAACAACAACAAAAAATGCCAAACCACAAAGAAGTCAGATTTAGAATATCTGCTTTTCCAAAGATTCACTTGCAATTAAAATGTAGGAGTAGAGAGTTCTACCTTCTTGGGATTCTGTGTTGTAAACTCCCATTCACATATAGACCAGAAATCGGGTTTTCAAGTCTTCAGGTTCAGGGATCTGAGTTTTTGACCTGTTTTTAGACTCTGCTTTCCATTCCTGTGCTCTCTTAGGAGGACCGAAACTCAGACAAGATGATTGTCAAGCGATTTCTAACGTAAAAAGTAAACAGATTTCTTTGTTTGAGAGTATCTTGCCACCTGCCTGACTACCTTTGTGGTTGTGACTTTATTTATTGTAAAGTGCCTTTTGCTCAAGAAACCTGTGAAGTACCCAGGACATGGGCAGAGGGGGTCCTTACTACTGCCATATAATGATGATGCTTGGAAACAGATCCCCAAATGTCATTTGCTTTAAAATATTTGCTATTCTGATAAGACCTTTTTAAAACAGGTAATTGAGGTTCTCATTATAGCAAAGTCTTTTGCTTTAATGAAAGAAGTCATTGCAGGAGATCCTTTAGTGCACATAAAGCCCTTAAAGTATGTTTTTATTAATTAAAATCCTGTTTACATTCAACTTTTCAAGATCACATCTTTTAGATGGCAATAGATCTTATGCACCTGGTCTTAAAATTGAACACTTTACTGGCCCCCAAAGCTAAGTCAATGCTTGTAGGCTTTAGAATTTCAAAAGCTTAATCAGTGACATTTTATGTGCATGTGAATCTGAAACTATTTCCCCCCCCCCATTTTAAGGACATATCCTGTATAATTTCCTCATTCTTCAAAATTCTCGTAATTATTTCCACTTTAAGGAAAAATTTCATAACTGTGAAGAGATGAAAACTTGGGGTAATGACTTTTGATATTAGTAATTAACTAATGGGTCCAGATTCCTAAGAACTAATGTGGATGCAGAGATCTGCATTTAGAGAATGTTTCAGTGGATTGAATGCTGCCTTTTATAAGATCAGTTTATAATACATTGGCAAATGAATTGGTATAATTTTCAAATGAATAATGATTTTGTTTAAAAGCAGAAATCTTAGAATGAAGGGAATGTTAAGTCTGAACTATTTATATCACTCCAAATTCTCTTCCCATCTTTAATATATAGGCATACATATTTGGGTCATTATTATCAGTGTATTTTATGTTCTACTTTGTTCCCATTAGCATTGTAGCCTATAAACATGGTATCATACGAACATCCCCAGATACTCACATTCTCTATACACCAATCAGTTAAAACAAAAATCATTCAAACCTCAAAGTGTTTGAATTGTAACATTACCTTTCTTTCCATAGCTAGGGTGAGCAATCCTGTTGATAATCAGGAAAACACACAATATTTTTTTATCATAATAAAATAACTTGAAATTTAAAAGAAATTAAAATTACTTCTTTTCATTTAAGGCTGTTATGACAGTGAAAATGGCCTGAGGCTCAAGGCAGTGGGCAGGGGCTTTGTGCTGCACTAAAATTTTAAATGTTGCCTTGTGACTGTCCTTTCTCTGTGCACAGATGAAGAGCTGCCTTTGTTTGACCTGTCACACTGACAGTGTTCTGATCCCAGCCCACCAGCTGTGTGTGTATGTGTATGAATACTTGGACCCGGAAACCCCAGGGCCAAGGATCGGTGGTGGTTTCCTTCCCAAGAGCCTTAGGGCTAGTCATGAAGGAACATGTGCCTGTTGCTTGTGGTGCCTGTGCCAAAGTCATGTTTCCCGTGAATGTCTAACACACCTGAGCTCTGTCTTTCCCTTTGCACACCTGACTGTCTCTTCCTTTGTGTCCAGGAGCTGGAGGAGAAGCACCGTGAGGCCCAGGTCTCAGCCCAGCACCTAGAGGTGCACCTGAAACAGAAAGAACAGCACTACGAGGAAAAAATTAAAGTAAACACACTTTCTGATCTTCCCCAGCATTCTTCCTCTGGCATGACCTAGCTTCTCTCTCTTCCTGGGCACTTTGGGCTCCTTCTTGCTTGACCCAAGGCCTGTATGGGGTAAATGCTGTCCTCAGGCCATGGTGGGAGGTTTTGGGGTGTTAACACATGTGGGGGATGTTAAAAAAATATATATTTTTTTTAATTATTAATCTCAGTTCTGTCTTTAATGTATTTTTCGCCCCACTGTCATTCAGTCTGTGATGACTTAGATTTAGCCACAGACTCACCATTCATTGCTTTAATTTCCTTCCTGCATCTCAGACCTGAACATTTTCCTTTTGTTTAAAGTATATCCCTGAGGACTTTCCTTAGCGAAGACCTGCTGGTGACAAGGTCCCGGTCCCGTGTGTCTGAAAGTGTCTTTATTTCACACTCATTCTTCAAAGGTGTTCTGCCTGGGGATAGAATTTTGGGTTGACAGTTATTTGTTATGACACCCTTTGAAGGGATCACTCCATTGTCTTTTGACTTTCATTATTGCTAATGAGAAGTCAGCTGTCGGTCTAACTGTTGCTTTCTTTGAAAATCATTGCTCTTTTTTGTTTGGCTGCTTTTAAAATTTTGCTCAGTCTTTAATTTTCTATAGTTTTACTATGATGTATCTAAATGCAGATTGATTATTTTATCTTGCTCGAAATATACAGGACTTTAAAATATATTGCTATCTTTTATCAATTCTGGAAAATTATTGGTCACTATGTCTCAAATATTGTCCCTTCTCCTTCCTTCTTCCTTTTTGAGGGTTTGAGTAGGCATCATGGGTGACTTTTTTCATATTTTCCATTTCTTTATCTCTCGAAGCACATTGGGGTAAGTTCTGGCTGATTTTCCACTTTACTAATTCTTACCTGTCAAATCTGCTGTTAAACCCACCCAGTGAGTTTTAAATTTCAGTTACTGTATTTTTGGTTTCTAGACATTTTATTTGGCTCCTTCCCAAGTTTAGTAGATTATTTAAGACAATAATTTTCTATTTCCTGCATTCGTTTTTAAGCTTGTCTTTTATTTCTTTAAACACATTAGCATAGTTGTTTTATGTTCTTTATCTGATAATTCCAGTATCTGATGTATCTGAAGGTCTGTTTCTGCTCTGTTGTTTCTCTTTGTTGTTTTTCACAGTGCCTGTCTTCTTCTTTTTTTAATAAGGTTTTATTTATTTATTTGACAGTGAGATAGAGAGCACAAGTAGGCAGAGCTGCAGGCAGAGGGAGAGGGAGAAGCGGGCTCTCCGCTGAGCGGGGACCCTGACGCAGGGCTCGATCCTAGGACCCTGGGATCATGACCTGAGCCGAAGGCAGAGGCATAACTGACTGAGCCACCCAGGCGCCGCTCACGGTGCCTGTCTTCTTGTGTGCTTGGTCAGCTGCTCATTTTCCTTAGAAAATTATTAATGGGAATTCTTTGAGGCATTGAATGGAAATGTGTACTCCCTTTGGGGGTGGCCCTGGGCTTAGACTTTTCTGTCTTCTTACCCTTTGAGGCTATTAAAAATGAAGTTCAAGTTTATTTGGTTCAGCAAATGCCTCAAGTTAAAAACAGCTTTGTGCCCATCTTAACTCTCTAGGTTTCTGCTGTCACTTAGAATTTTAGTCTCTAATTTCTTAGTCTCTTGCCAGTTTTTGGGACAGTGTTTTCTATATTTTATCTAGCGTTTTAAATCCTTTCCCATAGAAGAGCTGGCCTAAATAATCTAGCCCAATGTATAAAATACTAAATTCAATTACTGTTTTGATTATTAAAATTATTATTTCAGTTCAGTTATTATTAATAAATTCTGCAATCAGAAAAAATGCCAGCTTATCTATTTCCTTTTAAAATCACGTCACATTTTCATTATGACTTTGCACCAAGCCTTTAACTCAGTTCTTGTGTTCCTGAGAATCAGACATTGGTCAATACATCCTAAATATTATCTTCCCCTTCCAAATCAGACAGTGAAGAGGCTTTTAATTTTTGTGATGATCCTGTTAATGGATTTTGTTGGTATTTTCTGTTCCTTTTTTGGAGAACCAAACCTGGATATGCCCACACAGCACAGCAACATCATCCTCTCCTCACCCTGGTACCTTCATTTTTTGTTTGTTTGTTTAACCCCTGGTGTTACTTTTGGTTATTCTTCATGAAGGAAAATTACAGAAAAATAACTCAGAAGTGACTTCAAAGTATTGTAGTGTGACCCCCCCTACTCAGTGTATTTTAAACTTTATATACCAGTCCTTTTGATCTGATTTCTTACTGACTTCCCAATTTTTATCTTTGGAATAAACCAACTTCCAGAACATTATGAGAATGTATGCAGTAGTCCACTGACACCTTTGCACGATGAAAATAGCCATTCATAAAATTAATTCTGTAATTTGGGTGAGTATATTGACTTTCCTGTCTGAAAGCTGTGTTCTGTCTTAAATTGATGTAAATGTCTATAGTGGTTCTTTCATTTCAAGTTCCTTGCTTCCTTCCCATGCATCTCTTTTCTTGTTCATCCTTCTGCCAGTTTAACCCTATCAAAGTCGAGGTGTGTGCATTTTTGATAGAGGCCTGTTCCTCTCTGCCTCTTACTGGTCTCCATCATGGCCCAAAGTTGAGGTTTTATTTGGAGCACGAGTCACCCTGAAAATGTGTTTCGTTGCCTTAGCACCCCATACAGAGGAGCATACCTGGTCCGGGTACTGTGTGGTCTCCGTAGCCTTCTAGATGGAAAGAACTTTGTTTTATAGATCCTAGGGAATGTTATGGCAAGACCTGTTTTCTTCTGTCTTCCCTACTGGAATCTTTATGAAACCATTTCTTTTTAGCCTGTCTTACCTTGTGCTTCCTGTTCCAGGCCTCTCGAAGGCCATTTTAGTAATAATCATGGTCATACCCTAGATTTTGTCCTTTTCTTGTTTGTAATTTTAGAATCACACCCCAACATCCTAGAGAATGGGCCACTTCTCCTATTGAGCTTCTCCCCTCCTCCCTTGATCTGTCCTCCACCTTTTGTTCTCCACAGACTCCCAATCTATTTTTTTCATCAGTTGGTTCTAGTTTAAAGCCCTCTTTGAGATCTGTTCTTTCCTCTCTCTGTCATGTGAACCCCTTCCCTGCTGACTGGCTCCTTTTAGGAGCTCATGTCCCCATGAGCCACGAAGGTCCCTTCACAATAGACATTGTGGGAAAGACAGATTTCAATCCCCTCTGTGACCCCAGTTCTTTCAGCTTCTTCCCAGTATCAGAAGCAGTTGGTGTCATTCAGAAAAGGCAGAGTGGATTCTCTGTGATGAGAAACACAGGATTGTTCTCAAAGGCTCGGGCAAGTTATGGTGTTGTTTTCCTTTCTTCCCCCCTTTCTTTCTCACTTGTTGTTTTGGCAACTGGTAGGGCCGTGTGTGCCTTGCAGAACATTAGATCAAGCTGGTGGATGGTGACACCATTACTGTTTTATTTTTTTCCCCTTGGGAACAGTAGGTGCTTGCAGTGGTGTTCTCGGCACTGAGAACACATGATTTCTCTTCCCCTGGGAAAAGGTTTCTCTTTCCAGTGCCTTTTTTTTGTGTGTTTTGTTTCCTAGCCAGATCAGAAGAAAGAACGGAGGAGGAAACAGACTTTTTTTTTCACTCTCTCTTTTATGTTGTCTTTTCAAACTACGGACTCTCCATCTGCTTTATTGGTGGGCAGAATCCTCTTGTCTCTGTCTGTTTCCGAACATCAGCCTTGGTCGCACAGACGTCCTTGGTCTTCAGCTTTCTGTCCCTCTGTACATGGCCTTGGAGCTACCTAGATTAATCCTGTACAGATTAAGAGCGAGCAGTGTTCTGAAAATTGGTGCATTGACGACGATAAAGTTGTCCCCAGGTAACATCTACACATTGTAAGATCTGGGGACAGGTCTTTTTTCTCTCATTTGGAGTCTACTTCCACTGAGGATATATACCTCTTTTTGGTTGCTGATTTTAAAAATGAGTTCTTAGGTCAAGTCCGCTGGTTACTTGCCATGGGATGGTCAGGTTTGGCTTCTTACCCTCATCCTGGCTCATAAGCAGACTTCCAGGCCCTCTCTTTGCCCCAGAGTTTTCTTGGCCTCTTCACCACTTCTCCCGCTTTTCCCAAGAGCCCCTGGTTAGTCTTCCCTGCTCAGCTTTGCTACTCAGGACACTAACTTCTTTTGTTTCTCGTAGGTGTTGGACAACCAGATAAAGAAAGACCTGGCCGATAAAGAGACTCTGGAGAATCTGATGCAGAGACATGAAGAGGAGGCCCACGAGAAGGGCAAAATTCTCAGCGAGCAGAAGGCGGTAGGTATAAGGGATCACAATGCCAGTGTTCCAAGGAGGGTTTGTGAACCGTGCCCGGAATCACACGCCCAAGGAGAGTCCATTCCAGCCGATGAATTGTTCTTCCTGTTTAATCCTGTGGAGTTTGTTGCCTGCCTACAGCAAACTCTCTGCAACTCCTTCATCCTCTAAAAGCAGTGGGGGTGGGGGCTCAGGGTGGCCAATTTTGCCTTTTATGCACCTCTTTGAGGACTCCTGCTGGTCTGCCATCAACATGGCCCTTCACAACGCCACCGGACAAAATGGCCAGTGGCCCTATGTCCTCCTTACGGGCCTCCCTTCTCTGCCCTCACTTCTTGCCTTTCTGACCCACATACGGGTTTCAGAAACTTTCTGCTTATAAGGTTCACCTGTGGTGCTTGTTCATCCACCCATGGCCTCAGACCCCACGGGGACTCTGTACCTCAGAATCTCTAAGGGAGGGTCCTAGGAAATATATTTTTTTAATCAACACCTTCCCCTGCCGCTGCCTCCCCGATTCTTACGATTTATTAGGTTGGGAGAACTTTGATGTAGAGAATCTAGGACGGTAGTGAAATGACAGCCCCATGAATGATGAGAAACACGAGTTCGCAGATTCAAGTTAGAGGCTCCGGCAGGCCCAGGCCACATGCGGATGACACAGGTTTAATGAGGCCTGCTTACTCACAGAATGTTGGGTTCCTAAGTTGGTCCTTCCGTGTGGTTAGGGGACATGTAATCTCTGAGAAAACCACCGAGTGCCATTGTCTGGGCAGTAAGACCTGTGACCCTGAGGGTACAGAGCAGTTGGCTCCCCTGTTACCTCTGGTCAGATAGCCTGCATTTCAAGGGGAGTCTTTGACCCCGGCCCGACGGCCCACATTACTCTCACGCTGGTAGAACTGTCCGTGTGTGAGGTTTCAGAGGCCCTGCTTGTGTTTCAGATGATCAATGCTATGGATTCCAAGATCAGATCCCTGGAACAGAGGATTGTGGAACTCTCAGAAGCCAACAAACTTGCGGCAAACAGCAGTCTTTTTACCCAGAGGAACATGTAAGTATTCACATTCCACCTGCGTGCATGATTACACATTGGTCTTCTCTCCTGGGGCAGAAACTTTGTTCTTCTGTCTGATGAAGCCGGAGCAGATTTAATTACTTTTGCAGTTTGTTCCAGGCCCTGTCCTACCTGTGTAATTTTGCCCTCCCTTAAGTGGTCTCATTCTGCCATGCCCTTTCTTTGGAGCTGGGTTTTAAAGGCTTCAAATTGCCATCAGATGACAGAGGGCTTTGCTCTCACTAATGAGGGCTATTTATAGTTAGCTTTTGGACAGCTGCAGGCCTTGTTCCCCAGACGTGCCTCCTGTGATTAGCCAGAGGCGATCTTGTGGGGGCCTCGTTGGGCCGTCAGTCCTGCTGTTGTTGTTAGGCCCAGGGGCATGAGGTTTGCAAGGACCCCCTGTGTTCTAGGAGCGCTTGGATCTCAATCTTCTCCCCCGAAGAATGACCACCCCGGAACCCCCCTCCCTCCCCTTAGGTACCTCTCCTCAGAGATCTTCTAAAACATTCCCGTTTCCACTTAAACCAGCTCAGTAGGCCGCTTTTTGGTCTTTGAGTCATTCCAGTTTCTGATGCTTGTGAGCAGTCTGGTGGGGAGGCGAGCAAGGTCTATGGAGAAGTGGAGGGAACAGCATTCCTTCCCCTCATTGCTCTTTCTTCCCCAGGGCCTGCCTCCGGGAGTGGGTGGGGCACTCCTGTTTGTTCTCTGCAGAGGCCCCTTTCTGCCCTTGGACAGACTAAAACAAAAACAAAAACAAAAAAAGGGTCTACCTTAGGAGGGAAATGTTAGTGTCTCTTGCATTCCCCTTGACCTTCCTGAATCCCATAGACAAGGGCCTCTGAACGGTGAGGACCGAACTCGTCCCAGGTCCCCATGCTGGGATCAGGCACACGAGGCCGGGTCAAGACAGAGCCAGCCTGGGAATGAGCGTGCCCACTTACCAAGACGCACCTCTCACTCTGTTTCTGTCTGGCCTGCTGAGGGAACGTGCTCACCTCTGACGAGACTGTGATTTCGCTTGGCTCCCCCGACCACCCCCACCAGGAAGGCCCAGGAAGAGATGATTTCTGAGCTCAGGCAACAGAAGTTCTACCTGGAGACACAGGCGGGGAAGCTGGAGGCCCAGAACCGGAAGCTGGAGGAACAGCTGGAGAAAATCAGCCACCAAGACCACAGTGACAAGAACCGGCTGCTGGAGCTGGAGACAAGGTTGAGGGAGGTGAGCGTGAGGGGCCTTCTCCCAGGAGGATTCGCTGGGGCTCGGGAGCCCCTGACACCTTCCAGGTGTCAAGCATCAGTTAGCATATACCCAAGAGGCACCGTGCATGGTGGTGAAGAGTGCAGAGCGGGCCACCTTGATCAGGGCTAGGATTCCACTTCCATTTCTTGTGAGTTCTGTGACCTTCGGCAGCCCACTTTCTCTCTGTGCTTCCGTTTCCTCATTGGTCAAATGGCCATGACAGTGGCTCTCCCTCCCAGGGTCAAGTGAGGATTATGTACATAGGTGCATTGTCAAACTGGGGGGCAGAGTGATTCCTCCGCCATCCTGCTTTAGCGAGGGTCACCTGCCTGAGTCCACGCTCGGAATTTAGCGCCCGGGGCCATCACGTGGCCTGCTCAGGGCAGTGGCTCGGGGTCTCCAGGTGCTGGTGGGAGAGGAAAAGACAAATCTCAATTTTAGTGGAAGGTGGTTCTCTTCAGAGACAGGGAAGCTGGGAAGGGCAGCCAAGTTTTGGGGAGGAAAATGCAGCACATTCGGTCGCAGACCTGTTGAGGCTGATTGAGGCTGTGATGGCGCGTGTACTCACTATATTCGTTAAATGCCTGCCATGTGCCAGGCAGCAGCCTGGCTCTGCAGTGGTGATAAGACCCAATCCCTGATGCTGGGGGCTGTCACCTAGCCGGCAGGGTTAGCTGGTTGGACAGAGGAGTTCAGGAGAGTGGTCGCTGGAAGCGCGACATCCCGGCTGGGCGAGAAGACAGTGCCTGGAGCCTAGTGGGTAGGTGCTCAGGTATTTGTGATGGAATTCTTCAACGAGCACACGGTCTCTCTTAAAGGAAAAGACTGTGAAGCAGACAGAGGTCCGAAGACTAAACTTGGGGATACCCGTGGTTCTTGTACTGGAGTGTAAAAATGAAGCCAGTCCTCCAAAGGGATAGGGGGGAAAAAACATTGTCTTATGTTTTTCAGGGGTGGTCTAGGTGTAGTCCCCTCTGTTAGGATCATCTGGTGTGTCTGTTGAAATGCAGATTCCTGGGCCTCTTCCTCAGCGTTTTTGAATGAAATAGGATATGGGTGGAAGAGGGGAGCAGGGATCTTCATTCTGAACAGTCTTAGGGCAATTCTCATACTCCCACAGCAGTGGTTCTGTTTTGGGTTGTCCAAAAGCCTCAGGTGGTGGTTTCAGTTTTATTATCCAGGCTATATTTTTACTGTTCGGTAAGTTTAACAACATTTCCCTGTAGTGTCAGCCTTGAGTGTGAGTGTAAATAACTCTGATTTCTTTGAGCGTGGGAACACTGAGTAGCCGTTTTGCCTTCCCTTCCCACAAATGTCTCTCTTAGCTCGGCACCTGCCCTGCATCTGTCGCTCATCTGGGCAATTAAAATGCCCCAGGGGGAGCCAGTTGCTTTTTTTTTTTTCTTTCTTAAATCGGTACAGCTTGCCCACCAAGGAAGGTGGGAGAAAGAATGCTGGCAAGAGGCTCAGGGCTGTCATACTCCCTGGGAGTTCTGGAGCTTAGCTTTAAATATAACAAGGCGGGTCCACTTTTGGTTTGCTGCCTGCAGCTATCGAGATTGGGGGCCGAGGCCTCTCAGCCTCCGGTTTGATCCACCTTCAAGGCTTCCCTCACCCTGCGCGTGCAGTGTGAGCTCTTTCCTAGCCTAGCGTGTGCAGTTGCGATGGTGCGGGGCCTTGGAGTCTTCCTGTCATTGCACAGCATCCTGCTCACCCAGCCCCGCACGGCTCAGTCACCCGCCTCCCCTGGTTCTGCCAAGTGGCCTCAGGGGAGCTTTTCGGCTGGCTGGTGGAGTCGCAACCTGCTCTGACCTGGGCATTTTAATAAGACAAACAGCAAGTCGTGGACTCTGGAGCCAGACTTCCTGGGTTCGAAGCCAGCCCTGCCATTGTGGAGCTGGGTGACATTGGCTCAGTTGCGTGCTCTGCCAGTGCCACGGCTGTGTGTACGAAGAAGGCGACAGTAACGCCTCCCTCTGGGCTGTTATGAAGGTGGGAGGAGCGCCACTGTTGCTCGCGGGAGAATGTAGTCGTGGCTGCAGCTGCCACTGACTGGCTAAGGGCTCCCAGGTCTAGATTGCCAGCCCAGACCTTTCTCGGGAGCCTCTGACCCATTCCCAGTAGACATTAGATACCTCCACCTGCATGTCTCCCTTTGCTGCTCAAGTTCACCACGTCAGCATGGATTTCTTTCTTTTTTTTTTTTTAAGATTTTATTTATTTATTTATTTGACAGAAAGGGACACAGCGACAGAGGGAACACAAGCAGGGGGAGTGGAAGAGGGAGAAGTAGGCCCCCCGCGGAGAAGGGAGCGCGATGCGGGACTTGATCCCAAGACCCTTGGATCATGAACTGAGCCGAGCTTAACGACTGAGCCACCCAGGCGCCCCAGCATGGAATTTCTTATCTTTTCCCATAGACTGGCTCTTCCTCTTGTGTTCCCTGGCGTAGCAAAGGTCTCCCCTTGCGCAGTTCACCTGGCCAGAAGCTCAGGCGTCACCTTCTGTCCTTTGTCTCTTGCCCCACCTCAAATTAACCACCAAATCCTGTTGGTTCTCTAGGCTTAATCTTTTCTAAGTCTTTGTTCTCTTCACCCTTACAGCTTTTGGGACTTGGGTGTCACCTTTCCCAGGGACCCTTCTCTGACCCTCCTAAGCTGGATGTCCCCACAGCCTTGTGTGTTTAGGTCATCACGTTGTGTACCTGTTGGCAGCACCTGTTAGACAGTGAGCTTCCTGAGGGCAGCAAGTACCTCTTATTTACTTGACATCCGCAATGACTGGCACAGAGTCTGGTCGCTAGGACAATCCTTGTCAGTGTTGGTTAGGTCAATAGATAGGCCATGGGTCTCCCTCATCTCCATGCCTTTGGATGTCTTGGTTCCTCTGCTTGGAATTTTCTTTCCTATTTGCTGGTTTGGCTCCTATGAATTTTTAAATAAACATATGCAGAGTTACCACCTTTACCCTCCACTGTGTTCCCACTACATCCCCACATATTCTGACCATTACACTTGACCACATACATGGTTGGTTTTCACTTCTCCTCCACTTCAAGTGCAGAAACTGTCTTTCATCTTCATATTCCTTTTTATATGGAAGTTGCTGAGTACATTTTTCTTGAATGGATGAAACATTGAGTAGATAGAAGGATAGATGGGAAGAATGATTCCTTCATAATGTGACATTAATGTGGGTTACCTAATTAGAACAAATCAGAGGAGTATGGATGTATGTATGTATTTAAAGACTTATTTGAGAGAGAGAGAGAGAGAGAGAGAGAGAGCACGCAAGGGGAGGGGCAGAAGATGAGAATCTTCAAGCAGACTCCCCATTGAGCCTGACCTGGGGCTGGATCCCATGACCCATGAGATCATGCCCTGAGCCGAAACTAAGAGTCGGATGCTTAACCGACTGAGCCGCCCGGGCGCCCCAGAGCAGGAACATTTAAAGTAAAAAGAATTCAGTTCTGTGGTTCCATTTTTATCCCAATTGTAAAGAGGTCCCTGTTACCAATATGATGTTATTTATAGCCAGGCTCTCCGCCGAGCTTACTTTTAAATGCTTTTCTAATAAAAGTAATTGTCATAGTTTGCACTCGAGATTTTTGTGTGGTTTTTCTTTTGAAGCCTCCCCAGGCCTTTGAGTGTTTGTAAGTAAGGGTTGGTTTGTACAGACATTCTCTTCCACGGTCTTGTTCCTGGTCATTTCTGAGACTCCTGAAGTTAGACCTGTGTTATAGCGGCTCTGTTTTCTCCTTCGCAGTTAGTTGAGCGCTGGGAAATTTGACTCCATGACCACATTTAAGATGCAGGTTGAGCGTCAGGTTGTGTCTCAGCTAGTCAGGCTCAGCTTGTTAGACTAGTGAGTTGCATTCTCTCTAGCTGGGGTCAACTGAGCATTTGTGTGTCTCTCTCTGCCCGTCTCAGGTCAGCCTAGAGCACGAGGAGCAGAAACTGGAGCTAAAGCGCCAGCTCACGGAGCTACAGCTCTCGCTGCAGGAGCGCGAGTCCCAGCTGACGGCCCTGCAGGCTGCCCGGGCAGCCCTGGAGAGCCAGCTGCGCCAGGCCAAGACTGAACTGGAAGAGACCACAGCGGAGGCAGAAGAGGAGATCCAGGCACTCACGGTAGGTCTACGGACAGGTACCTTCAGGCTGCTCCAGGCCTCAGCCGGGAGGAGTGTGGCACTGAGGAGATTTGCTCACTCGGAGAAATCCCAACAGAGGAAAAAACGATCCCTAGAGATATTTAATGGCCAGAAAACTGGCTTAGGTGAGAATTCTCCTTCCTGAGAATTAGTGTCAACATCTGACCTTTCCTTAGTATCTTGAAACAGTCCTTCCTTCCTTTATGTATCTTCCCTCTTTTAAAAATAATCATCATTAAATTTAAAATTTTAGTTTGAGCTGAAGGCCATTTACTTGAATCTTCTACTTAGTTTTCAGTGATCATTAAAAAAATAATAGTCTTATATTTTATAGTAGTCTTCCTACCATATTTCTATTTTTGTATTGGTTAACCTTCATTTGCAGGTTTGTTTGTTTTAAGCTGTAAATTCTCCTCAAGTCTTATGTATGCATCTAGTATGTTCTGGATGGAAAAGTTGTTCTGAATGAGAGATTCATTTCTCTCAGAGGAACCTGGCTTCTCTGCTCTTTCGGAGACAACAGTTTACCCAACTGAAGAGTGTTCTCAGGAAGTAGAACTTGGGGTGGGGGGCGGTAGGTGAGGGTGTCACTGGATTTAGACCTTGGTTCTTTCTGGAAGTCTAAAAATATGACTTTTTCAGTTTCCCATAGTTGATCCTTCTCACAGGGACTGACCCAGGCTAACAAAACTGACAAGAATCTTACGTATAAAATGACAGCTCATCTACTTAACAGTGGAAAATACAACCACCAAGTTGACTGGGATACTCTGGGTGGCTCATCTTCCCATTTTTTTCTCCTTCAGAGAAGTCTCCTTAAAAACCTCATTTCTTTTGGAAGGCTGCTTAGTGGACCTGGTCTTGGCCCAGAAAGCCAAATGAGTTTAATGGCTAGCATCAGCCAAGCAAATCCATTGCTGATAGTAACATAGTGTACTTGCCAAGTGGACAGGCATAGTCATGCATGCTGGTCAGGGTACCTTCTTCCGTGGGCAGGGCACACTGCAGCTGATTGGGTTTCGTGTTTTCTAAAATAAGGTACTTAGGTGGGTACCTTAGTCACTCTGATTCATCTTGGATGCGGTCCTCCTTTCCATCACTGAGCATCTCTAAGCATGTAGAGTGGGGTTAGTTCTACAGATGGCCATGCACATTCGTTGCTTATGATTTAATCCTGTTCAAAAGTAGTGTGTGTGTGTGTGTGTGTGTGTGTATTTTTTAAGATTTTATTTATTTATTTGACAGAGAGAGACACAGCGAGAGAGGGAACACAAGCAGGGGGAGTGGGAGAGGGAGAAGCAGGCTCTCCGCTGAGCAGGGAGCCCGACGCGGGGCTCAATCCCAGGACCCTGGGATCATGACCTGAGCCGAAGGCAGCCGCTTAACTGACTGAGCCACCCAGGCGCCTATATATATATATATATATATATGTTTTTGTTTTTTGTTTTTTTAAAACAATCTTCTTAGAAGCTACCTTCCATTGTTGGTTTTGGGAAGCCCATTATCTGAACCAGATTGGAACATGATCTGACAGTGCCAGGGTCCTTATGGACTAGTCTAGGACATGGAGGCTTCCAGGATTCTGGGAATACAGAGTAACTCCTATTAGGAAGGTGAAGGTGCAGGTGCATCTCAGATTTTGCAGGACTCATGCCAAGGTCAGATATTGATTGCAACCTTAATTTCTCAGTGAGAACACTCCCTGTGTGCTATGCCATGTGCCCCTTATACTTGGTTTGGAAAAGAAACAGTCACGATCTCTCTTTATTTATCCTCTGCCTTGCATCTTTCCAAACTGCTCTGAATCCATTTTGAAACAAAACAGTATAACAAGATAAAATAAGAAAGAAAAGGCCAAGAGAAAATAAGTCTATAGAAGAAAAATATGGAGGTAGGAATGAAATGAATATAAAAGAATGCATGCCAAGAAGTCTTATGTGCTTTCTCGAATTGGGTGGATGGGGAGAGAGACAGCCAGATAGCATTTCTTAGCTGCTAAAGGAGGCATCTAAAAATCCAGCCACTATTATATTGAATGCGTTGTGTATTAATATCTTCCCCACGCTGTCCAAACCACCCACGCTCTGAAAGAAGGACAAGGAGACATCAGTAATCTAATCCATACTTAATGAGTTCTTGCTCTGTGCCTAGTGCTGTGTCTTTAGCCTTTTCTTCCCAGGGGATTGGCCTGTAATCCCTCAAATCCTTTTACTTTGGAGCCGAGAAGGACACATTGATCTCACTGCTCTGTTGGAGTTGGGAGGGAGGGTGGTAGCCATGCATCTTGTCCTGCTCATTCAGAAGGAGGATATAAAATAGAGCATGTGTCACTGCTGTTTATCTGTGGGGAAATTAGTCTTTAAGTCCTGTCTTGCTGCTGGTTAGAATGTGCTGTGTCTAATGGCTGCTGGAAGCCTTCACAGCAGCAAGTCACGACTTAGTCAGATGAGGTCACTGCCTCAGAGCATCTTCTTATGAAAAAATAAAGAAACAAACCTCCCTAAGTCTAGAAACCAGGGCTCTACCACTCTTGCAGATGAAGATGCCTTGGAAAATAGGGCTTTTTCAAAGTGATGGCAGGAAAACAAACAAACAAACAAACAAACCCTCAGAGCTGTTTGTAGCCTGTCCTGCAAGAATGCAAATCCCGTATCAACTTGCCTCGGTCCAGTTTTGAGGCCGTGAGTTTTCCTCTCCTCCTCCCTTCGATTATGTCCCATAAACCTGGTTATGGACCGCATGCAGCTGTTGCCTGAATGGCTTTGTTGAATTTGTGCTGAAGACTGTATTTTCCGAGAGGAAGAGGAAGTGGCCACGGGTGTGTTACCCTGACTCTGTCTCATTGTTCAGGCCCCAGGGCAGGCCCCATGTAAGCGTCCGCCAGATTAAATCAGCTGGATCTGAAATCTCTGAGGAGGTTTGCGAGCTTCATAGCAGGCTGATTTATCAATAAAAGGGAATGAATAGTCAAATGGGCTATTACTGCTTAATTTTAAGAGGCTGCCGTCTCTGAGCCCGGGGAGGGAGCAGTTACTCTGGCCTCTGCCCCTGGAGCAGATTAGGTGGAGCGCAGCTCAGTCAATGGTCTCCATTGAAGAAGTGTGGCGGGGTCCTCTGGGAAGCCACTGGTTGGTCTCCTTGATGTTTTCTTGCTACCCACTCTCCTCCGTTGTGTTCACATGGAGATTCACGGGCCATCAAAAGCTGAGAATGAATTAAGGTGGAGGCCAGTCAGGAGAGTCGTATTGAAACAAAAAGCCAGGCTTTTAAGGTGCTTCCATGCTTCTTGGCGGAAGAAAGGATTTTCTACCCGGACTTGATATTGAAGACTCCATCCCTTTATCTAAGGAAGAGAATTTGAGTCTGCACACTGTAGAGCAGACAGAAGCATGATATGATACATCACTCTGAATGGGGGCCACAGGGTGGGGGCCTGACGTAGGCTCTGTGTACAGCAGCATGACCCCACGACACACTCTTCGTGTCCAGGTCCCTGTCATCATGCTCTTTTACTGATTTGGTTAAATGACTAATGTTGAATAATCAAGAGTCTAAAGCTAGAGACACTAACGAAAGGCACCCTCCCAGCATGGTGTGGCCATGGGTTCCCAATGTCATCCTCTTTGATTTGTTAAAATCATGAGTCAATGCATACTCTCATTTGTTTTACATAAATATCAATCTGTGTATTTAATTAAGCAAGCCATTGGCATGATAAGCAAGATCTAAAATTAGAGCACATGAGGTGACAGTCTTGCTTGGTGCCCGCATTCACAGGGAAAGGGATGGATGTGTGGAAGCCTGATTGTTCTAGAATCCTGTCCATGGATCTCAGAAGATGGTCAGACGTCTAAACATTAGTTTCCTTTCTCGAGTTCTGCAGGTACTTCTCTCTCATCAAGACTGCATTATATAATTCTCTTTTCTTCCTCTTGTAACTCTCTTTAACATTAATGAAGACATAAGTATTCCCCAAAAAGAGTGCCTTTCCAGTCTTCAGGCTGCAGCCTGTGCATTCTCCCTGATTGCCACCCAACCCCTAGGTCAGCAGTTCTCAAAGTGGGATTGGTGGATCCCTAAGGGGGTTCCCCAAATTCAGATTATTTTCATAATAATGCTAAGATGTCATTTGGCATTTTTCATTGTGTTAGCGTTTGCACTGATGGTGCAAGAGCAGTGTTATTTTAAAAGAAATAAAGAGTAAATATTTGGGAAAAAATCTCCATTTTAATTTCTAAAGTGGTAAATATAGATAAATGTAATCCACATAAACAAAAGCTCTTCAGGGTCCTTTGAAGGGTGTAAATATTTATTCTCTGTAGCACCTGATACCTAGTGAACACTCAAAAATTTCATTGAGAGGATCTAAACACTGTCTTACGTATTTTACTATCTTTATATAAACTATTGTGTGACCTTTTGGTTTTTTGTGCACTTGTTTTACAAGTTATTTCAAAGAAACATAAAACATGTTTCTTGACATTTTCTTGCTCAGATCAGTTCAGTAATTGTTAAATGCTTATAGAATCTCCAGCAGTCATAACAGGATCCGTTCTATGTTTTGTGTTTATAACTCAGTCAATAATAAATCAAAAGCCATAATGATGGTACTCCATTACATTTTAACTTCAAAGAGGATTGCCATTTGGTTTCAGTGGTAGTGCGATGTTCCTACTTTGGATAAATGGCATTCATTACCCCATTATATCAGTAAATCTCTCGGATTATTGCTGGGCATAGAGCAGATTGATTTTGGGGGAAAAGTAAGAGACTGGTAAGTTAGTCCATCAAAATATGGGCTAATGATGTGGGGAGTTGATTCTCAATGATAACTTTTTATTCATGAATCTGTGAGTCTATTTTGCAACTTTTTTTTTTTAAGCCATTTTCCCAGTGCTCATCATGCTTTTGTGTGGATTTATATTTCTGGTTGTCACCTTCCTTCTGCCTGAAGGACTTCCTTTACAATTTCTTACAGTGCAGGTGGCAAATTCCTTCAACTTTTGTATATCTGAAAAAGTCTTTTATTTCACCTTCATTTCTGAAGGATATTTTTGCTGGGTATAGAATGTCAAAGGTTTGGGGTTTTTTGTTGTTTTTCTATTCAGTGCTTTAAAGATGTTGTTCTACTGTCTTCTAACGTGCTTCACCCCCTCACCTCCCCTTTTCCCACCCACCCTCTGGTGAGGAATCTTTTTGTTTTTCTATATGTAACTTGTCTTTTTTCTCTGGCTTTAAGCTTTTTCTCTTTATTACTGGTTTTAAGCAGTTTGATGAAGATGTGATTTAGCTTAATTTTCTTTGTGTTTCTTGTGCTTGGGGTTCCTTGAACTTTTTGCATCTGTGGGTTTATGGTTTTTATCAACTTTGAAAAATCTGTGGCCATTATTTCTTCAACTGTTTTTTCTGTCTGACCCCTACCCTCCTCCAGGGACACCAAGTACATGCATATTAGGCAGTGCAAAGTTGTCTCACAGCGCACTGATACTTTGTTCATTTTTTAAAGTCTTTGTGTGGGGGCGCCTGGGTGGCTCAGTCGTTAAGCGTCTGCCTTCAGCTCAGGTCATGATCTCGGGGTCCTGGGATCGAGCCCCGCATCGGGCTCCCTGCTCGGCGGGAAGCCTGCTTCTCCCTCTCCCGCTCCCCCTGCTTGTGTTCCCTCTCTTGCTGTGTCTCTCTCTCTCTGTCAAAGAAATAAATAAAATCTTTAAAAAAAATAAATAAAGTCTTTGTGTGTTTCATTTTGGGTAGTTTCTAGTGCTTTGTCTTCAAGCTCACTAATCTTTTTTTCTGCAGCGTCTATCTGCTGTTATAAATTTAGAATATTTATGGCAAAATAGATGTATTAGAGAATACATCACAGCTCTAAAATTTTTGACTTAGTTGTCTCATAGACCTGACAGACTATTTTTTTTTTTTTTTTTTTTTTAAGAGCAGGGCTGCATTTGCCTCTGCCTCAAATTAGATTCTTCTTTGGACTTTCATAGCTGAGCTCTGGTACCACAATCTACCCTGTTTCTCAAGTCAAAGGTCTGTGAGGGCATCCTTTCCCTTCTTTTCCCAGTGTCTGTCTGCAAGTCTTATTACCTGTGCTTCCAAAAGAGATCTCACTGCCATCCGCTTCTCTCTGTCTTTTGCCTCCGTCCTACTTGAAGCCACCGTCAGCTCCTCCTTGAATGACAGCAACAACCTCCTCAGTAGCTTCCCTGCTCATATCTACCTTTGTCCTGTTTTGATCTGTTCTTGTTACAGCATCCACAAAGTGACAATTGGATCATTTCACTCTACTTCTTAAAATCTCCATTGGCTTCCAACTAATGGTATTTTGAATGAAACCCAAACTCCATTCTGGATCTTTGAGATTCTTGGTCCCTGCCTGCCTCTCTACCATCATCTTGGGCGACTTTTTCCTTCTCTTGCTGTGCTTTAGCCAAAAATTGTTTGACCACTACCCACCAAAAATACATTTACTTTACAGTCTAATACAAGGGAGCGTATATACATATATATATATATATATAT